AAATTCCTTAGACTAATACCAAAGTAAATTTATTATAACTGCACTAAAAAAGCAGACTTAACAAGAAATAAAGCATCCAGTATGGATGGTTATATGACAAGTTATTGGGAAAAAAGGATCTTAACACCATATTACAGTTACATGTATGTCCTGTATATCCCGTATTAGAGGGAAAAATAAGGACCCTACCCAAATCTAGGAAATTCAACTAGGGCTGAAACCAAAGTCAGTCTGCAGGCCCCTGGTAGTAAGTTTATAAGAAAGACAGCTATAATGCCACTGGTAATCATGGAGCAATTGGGGGGGAAAAAAAGGATAGTAAAGGTGTAAATAATTATATTAAGCAATGTGTTAACAGGAGAAAACTTATTCAGGTCCTTCTGTGAACAAATATCTGAGCTGTCTACATAATTCCTGTCAAAGTTTTATGCATTGATTAACCCACACTTTTTCCCAATTAACCCTATTCTGTTTCCCAAATCCTACAGACATAGAATTGTTTATCAGTTCCCATGTGCCCTTACCCAAGAACTTAAAAATGTTCGTTTCTTTTGGATAAATACATTCACATGACTGCAAATACAAAGGGGAAAAACTTTGTTATTTCTATTTCTATGCCTGGACTACTGCAAGATTCTGATTTTCTGCTTCTATTCATCGGAATAATGCTTTCCAATCTACCCTACAAACTGGTGCCATATTAACCTACCTGAACACAGGTCTACAAGTCAATTGCTTAACACCAGCTCAGTTTTTTAATGTTGAGTACAATCTGATACAACAAAACATAGACTGAAATGCTTATTTTGTAAAGTTAGGAATCCAGGTTTAAAAGTAATTTGCCCAAGGACACAGAAATTGGGAATAGCAGCATTAAAATGCCTGTCTTCCATCATTTTAAGTTAATTCTATTCCTACAATCTGTGGTCCTGATATCTTGTGGCTCTACCTGCCTCCAGACTGAAATTAAAAGCTTCCATTTACCTTCCTTTGTATTGCCTCACCACATCCAAAGTGGATCCCTTTCAATATTTACAGTTACTCATGAATTCTCCAACTTTTCTATTCTTTATCTTCCTCTTCTCTGCATTTCCAAGTCAAAAATCTTTCCCAGACATCAAAACCCAGTTTAAATGCTGCTGCCTCCACGAAAACATACTATCCTGGGTTTACTCTTGCTACATTTACTCCATTAGAAATTCTCTCCCTCCACTTAAATCTCCTAGTTATTTTTATCCTTATGACATTTAGTATCTTGCCTTATAAACTTGTATATTATTTTCTCCTCTGATGAAGTTCTTTAAAGTAAAGGAAAAGATTCTGTTAAAGTTAAGTCTTCTATAACTAAGCACAGTACTTTGCCTGTGGTAGGCACATCATTATGGAAAGGAAAACACAAACATATGCAAGTCATTGTATAACTCCTTAACAGTATAGAAAACAGTGGCAGAGAAAAGGAAAGCAGGATTAAGCTGAACAAAACTCTCAACCTAGAGCTCCCAGTCCTAGCTGGCAACTGGAACCCACCTAGTGAGTTAAAACAATTTTTAAAATTCCAGGACCCAGCCCAGATCTAGTGAATCAAATCACTTATGCCAGTAAACCTGTCACCTGTGGAGGTAATATAGAAACAAATTTTTAAACTTTCGTGTAATAGCCTGGAGTTGCCTCAGGGATATTTTAAACTAGACAGCTTTTATGTAAGTCACCCCAAACATCAAGGATTAAGTCTTATTTCTCTCTTCATCTCCCCCATGTCTCTCTCCCTGCTAGGTAAAATCTACCATATCAAATAGTTTTTTAGTGAATATTCCAAGGCATCAGCATTCTATGCTTGATATCCTTCAGTGCAGTATTAGCCAGGCAAGATAAATCAACATGGTTTAAATTAACCCTATGATTAAACACACAACTCACACCCATTCGTTTTATTGAAACAGACTTGCTTTGAATGACTTTAAACCATTTCAAAACCAAAGATTCACCTCAAAAGTTAGGATCTACGGTTACAAGCCTGGGACAACAAACCAAAAAGTTCTACTAAACTAAGCATTCTGAATAACTACTTTGAAAATATGTCCTTGGATGTGCACTAAAAGCCATCATGCTAACATATGCAATGTATTGACCAGTAAAATGTTAGGATACCTGGAATTTGCTTTTAAAAAACGCTACCAAAAAAACTGTGAAGGTAGATAGATGAAACAAGAATGACAATGCTTTTGAAATATTCAAGCTGGATGATGGGTACACTGGAGTTCCTTGTATTATTGGCTCCATTTTTGTGTATACTTATTTTTTTTTCATAATCAATTAAACAAGTATCACAAGTTTTGCCTAAGTGTCACTTGAGGTAAACAGGAAAAGAGGGCCTATCTCACCTTAAACACTGATTGCTTTACAATGGTATAATACTTCCCCAGATAACACAGAGATTAAAAGTCTTAAGTTAGTGGCAAAATATATACCAAACGCCAAAAGAAAATTCCAAGCACTAGAATTCCCATCAATTTCTTTTGATGGTTCAATGTATCATTTCATATCCTCAATTTTACTTAACAGATTTTAAAAATTCTGCAGCACTTCTAAGGCTCCAAGTAATTAGTATTTAATCTAAAAAAATGCACCATATTCCTATTGAACAGACGTAACACACCTGGCTTACCAATTTCCAAAGAAAGCTGTTCTAAACCTAACTTCAACTCAGTAAGAGATTACTTTTGAACATTTAAAGAAAAGACTATATTAAAGAAGCAATAAAATAATATAGGTGCTCTTCTAAAGGATATTCCAATAAGCCCAACTGATTATTACCTCTTTTAGAGTTTAAGAAAACTTAGAAATAACAACCCCCCACAAGCCTTCACTTATGAAAAAGATCTTCAAAAACCTGTGAGTTAAAAACAAATTCAAAGGGAAGAGAAATCAGTGACCTATAGACCAATTTACATTTGGCAGGAATTCAAAGAACTTGCCACTTAGAACCTAATTTAACAACATTCCCTATTTTTCTAGAAGGGGTAAAAAAAACCCCAATCAATACCAATTTAATTTCAACAAAATGTACATGTAAAAAACTCAATTTGCTGCACTTTACTAAACAAATTTTCTGTAACACCAGCAAAACTAAACATAAAAGAATCCATGTAGGGGCATTAGTTTATTTAAATACCACTGATTTCATATCTAGTAACCCATCTAGAGGCAAAATGCATACAGAATACCTAGAAACAAACAGGAGTCATTCCCACCTAAAAAGCCCTGAAATTTCCCAGAATAAAAATGACACAATCATCAACAAACCACCTAATGCAACAACCTGTCCCAAAATTTGACACGTTGTGGGACAACATAACACAACCAGATTATCCTCTCAAGCTCACGTAATGACCATCAGTACAAAATACTTTAGTAAAGATTTTTCCAAATAATGGAAAAGGCAGACAGCACAGAAAAGAACACTACAAATACCCAACTACTCCAATAGCAGAACTGTTAACCATGTATTAAGAAACTAAACATCTTTTGCCCTACCTTTCCTAAAAACATGCATTTCCTGGATCACCTCCAAAGAGCAGTGCTGGAGAAAAGACAGGTAATTTTATCTGCAAGGATTTCTACTCCTAAACTCTTAAGAGGCAACTTTACTTACTCTCAATTTTTAAAGGAAAAACAGAAATAGGACATCTATTTTACTAAAAATCTTCCAGTTCGCAGATAAGGAAAGGTATGCTGACTAGGTAATTCACTTAAAAGTTACGATATAGCTTTGTTATTCATCTCTGTGACAAGGATTCTCCCAGGGAGAATATAGTCATTAACTAGTCCCCACTATCTGATATACTGGCCCTTCCCTGCAGTTGCAAATCACTGCCTAAATTAGCCACTGTTAAAAATGGGAATTCACAGTACGTATTAGGTTTGCGCACACATGCATGGGGTATGGATTTCCTTTAGGCAAGCAGGGTTGGGGGATGGAGGTGGAATACTAAAAACCAATGTTCTTAAAGCACCAAGGTTGTAACATCATTCATGAAACCTCATTATTTGCTTTAAGTATTTACATCTCATACAGCAAATTTTTTAAAGACATAAATACACCATACTCTTAAGGAAGTTTTTAGCATGGAATATGAAAGATGGTTTGTCTTTTTAAACAAAGGCTTTGGGGTTATGAAAATTACAGACTCCCAAGGGTCTGGTCCCTATTAACGCTAACTGGTCTTGCCAGAGTAGTTTGTCTCTATTATTTTCTAGTTAACCACTCAGCACCCATTCCTTCTCTTAAAGAGAAAAAAAATAGTTCGACACTATCTTTTTGGACTCTTTCTCAAATACAGTGCTCCTGGGGTTGAAAGTACAGCACAGAGAATACAGTGATAATTCTGTAACATCTTTTTATGTTGACAGATAGTACAGTAACTACACTAGCTGGGGGGTGAGCATTTCCTAATGTAAATAACTGTTAAATCACTATGTTGTGCCCTTGAAAAACCAATATTGTATATCAATTACACTTCAATAAAAACACTGCTCCCATTCATTTTAAGCACATCAGAACTATTGAGTAGCTCACTAATAAAGCATATGATGCAAAAAACAAAGGACAGGGAACAACCGTTCAAAGAAAAATGTTAAGCGTGTTCAAGAGACAATATAATTTCATCCCTTTAAGCACTCCCCCCATCCCTTTATTCACTGAACCAGACAGGAGGTCAATTACACTTATACTTATCTATATAAAATGAACTGCTTTTAAGTTGGAAAAGTGAACATCATTTCCAAACTTAAACTGTATTATTTCCAAAGACCCTGAATTAGTTTGTTATCAGCTGCTTATCCACATTGTTTTATTTTCAGCTAAGCTCTGAAATTCTTAAATCTCATGGTAATTTCCAAAATTCACCCTTACTACAAAAGCTGTAAGTATATATTAAATTGACCAATATGATTTTTAAAATGACCAATACAAATCTTTGTATAGTAAACAAACGAGTTACCTTTAGTGTGATATACAATAGCAGCCCTCAGGTCAAAAGAACCCCAGCTATCATTCCTTTCTAGGCCTCTCTGGTATGTCTGTTCTTTGGCGGAGCCTAACAAAGTGTTCGTAGGAGACGCCAGAGGATTTTGATTTTCTATCTCGTAGTCCTTTGAGAGAAACACTAAAGCACCTTGACTACTGGTGTCTGCTTTTTGCAGGTCACCTATATGACTGGGTTCCAAGGGTAAGGCTCCACTCTCACAAGTCATCCCAGATTTTAGAATGCTACCCAGAACTTGAGGACTAGTCCGTTTTTCCAGCTCATAAGCCTTGGGAAACACAGGATGCTCCTGTGTTCCTGAGGGGATTATTTCAGCACCCTGTGGAACCAAAGCGGCAGGATATTCCCCTTGAAATGTCACCTCCACTGCTTTATGATTTGATGACTTCCCAATTACAGTCTCAGGGCCAGCACTGGGCTCATTTATAAATGATAAACCCCACTGATTCTGGAAGATATCCCCCAGGTTCTGCTGATCTGTCTGAGAGGGTAGATCCACTTGTGCTGTGCTCAACAGCACAGTTTGCATATTTGAAGGGTAGATAAAAAGGCTAGACTTAATTTGTTCAACAGCTGCTGAAGTCAGACTCAAGTCCTGGAGAACTGAATCAGTCCCAGAAGAGATGGGTGTTAGAGTATTAGTAGCAGTAGTTAGCAGTGGCTGACCCCCTGGAGAATATACACTTGCATCAGTCCCTGCTAAAACAGGCCCATTAGAAAAGTTGGCCGAAGTAACAGATTTCAGCGCTGACATAGGGACTTGGGATAACCGACTTGAAGATTGGGCCTGAGTTTCCCCAGTAGATGATGAAGAGGATGAAGATGAAGATGGTGACGAGTTCTGTACAGTTTTGTTGAGGTTTTCCTTAACCTTGCTTGCGTAACTTATTTTGGGAACTATTTTAGCACTGCTATTGTCCACTGGAAAAACTGGGGGTGGTTTAAATAGGGTCCATGAATCCTCTTTGGAGGCAACAGCAGAAGCATGCTTTCCTTTGGGCCGATCATCAAACTTTTTGCTGTTCACAGCAGGTTTAATATCAGAGCTTTTCCGCAGCATATCACCCACAGCAGATTTTCCTCGACTCGTTCCTCCAGGTCCACTTTCATACTTCCAAATGGGCTTTGAACCATCTACTCGATTTCCCTTTTGTTCACTATAGTCAGGCTTGAAACTTTCAAGTCCCTGTTTTAAGGCTGGGACACTGGTCTCTTGCTGCATTATTTTGTCCTGTGCTAAATTAAGGTTTTCACAACCCTTGGCACTATTGCGCCTAGCTTTCCTTTTTTTAGGAGTGGTATATCCACTCTCTGATCCGCTACCATCATTATCTACTCCTTTGCCCATATAACCATTAGTAATATACCCAGAATTATTTGTCACAACACCATTCGGAATTGCTGCAGTATCGGTCTTGTCTACAGACTGGTTCTCTCCAGACTTATTTTCGTAAGACTTCCCATTCTTTTTGTCCATACTGTTTTTCTGAATGAAATTCCTGGTTTTAATTCCTGCTTTCCCAAAGGTGCTGGCTTTTACAGTCTGCTTCAGATTAGTGTCTACAATTTGTTGGTTGCCATTGAGGACCCTGGAAATAGGGTTGGTAGCTTCATCAGAACCCAGGCTCTTTAAAGGTATTTCTCTTTCTCCAGCATTACCATTTAGTTCAACATAGCCTATGGAGAAAAAAAGTTTTAAAAATTACAATACATGAACTACAGTAGTACCTAACACTAAACTACTATTTATTTACTTGCTAGACATTATGCCACGGAGCTTTAGCTTTACTTCACATTTTTATCTCACATCTCTCTGAGACACACAAGCCCCATTAAACAGATTGGAAGGAAGGTCTACTAAGAGAACTGAGCTGGGGTTCCAACGGTCAGAAAGAACATGGTATGATCTCTTAAGCAGTATGCTATAAAACCTCTCATCCAACAGAATCAACCTCCCATCATTCTCACAAGGCTCTTTACAATGAAGAGCAAAGCTACCCTCTGGGCAAAACCAAGTTACACTGATACAGTAATTGTTTAAGTATTACTGGACCGTTAAAGGGTACATTTCTCTGAAACCATAAATGGCTGGTGGTCACCATAAGCGGTTTCTATTTTATCCTGTTGAACAAAAATATAACACCTGTGGACTTTTTCTAAACTAGTCTTAAATTCATTTTGACATTTCTTAGACATTAGATCATACTATTAATGTATGAAATCCAAACGCCTATGTACCAATGTTTCTACATCTTACATATTTTCTTCAATTTACATTTGGGTAAACAAATTCTCAGAGAAACTAAGTAACTCGCCCAAAAATCTGAACTACACAGTCTGTCTAGAGCAGGGTTTCCTATCACTGTCATACTGCCTAACCAAATGATGCAGTAAGGAATTGTTTTCTAACAAAACTACACTGAAAGACATCTAAGTTTAAAAAGCATTATGGTATTCAAGTTTAAAGACCACCAACTAACACAAACAGTTTACTACTATAGGTGATTCAACTGACCCAACAACTTTTCTCATTTGATTACTAGTAAAATAGTAGTATTACTTATCTAAATTTCTGTGATATATTGCCCAAAACATTTTGAAGTCAAGTCATTAGAAATAGATAAACAGGATATACACATTCATTTCAGGCACCTTTTCAAGGAGGGGGTGGTATTTAATAGTAATACCAAATAATCTGCCCTTGCACTTTCATTCATTCTCTTGAGCCTGTAGCCTGTTAAATCTAAAAGGCAAGTGAGCTTGCATATTCTTATTTTGAAATTTTGTTTTAATTTCCAATATAGTAAATATCAATAGCTATAACTCACATCAAAATACCTTTGTGTATTTTAAGAGTATAAGAGAAATTAAGATTTTTTAAATTTGAGAACCATTGTTTCAAAAGAACTTGATGGGGAATAGAACAATCTGGGAAGACTTACAACAGGGTTTATGATAATTTTAAGTCACTCATTCTGTATCAGAGAAAAAGATGGGAACACTAAAAATGAGCAAATGAAGTCACTTTCTACTAGTATCTTAACTTTCAGGAAATAAGAAAACATATTTAGGGCATAATCATTCCTAAATAGAATAGCACGAAACCTGTAACTTAGAGAATATGTTTTGTAAAAGTCTACCGTGGAATTACATTTTATTTTTTTGGCTGTTGAAAAAGCTATGATAGCCAATCAAGTCAAACTTTTGGTGGAAAAATCCTAACTATGAACAGTAAATTAGAGACCACTCCTTTTTCCTTTAGAAAACCAGAAAGTTCCTACACAGAGGCTCTCAACATTTTTAACAGGCATTGAGTTTACCCATATACAACTCTAGACCAAAGAGAAGAACTTATATAACCATTTAACACTCTAACAGGCTAAACAAAGGTTTATACTCTTGGGCCCATTAGTTATAACTTTTCAGATCTCAAAGGCAAAAGTCTTCTTAAACAACAAAAAAGTCCAACAAAGTCGGACCAAAGCCAAGACTTCTAAGTGAACTGGAGTAATTTTCCTAAGATGACTATATAATCACCAATTTAAAAACAACTCAGAAGCTACTATACTCCCACCCCCAAGTTTTAATGACAAAAAAGATTTCTTATTTAATTATATAAAATGTTTCCTACGACAACCTTGTTGGTATGCAAAAGTCAGCCAGAGAGGCATTTTCTTTTTAAAACTTTAGGTATTTAAGAAAAATGCAAATACTATATAGAATTACTGAGAGAAATCAAAGGACTCCTAGAGCTTTATTATTCATGGTTTCCATGCTAAAGCATCTAACCGTATTTCAAATGGACTCGGTAAAACCTCAGTCCTGAGAAATCTGGTTTTTGAATTAGAAACCGAAATTACTAAGCACATTTGGCCTTCTCTTGCGCCCTCTTCTGGATAAGGAAAAACTACTACTCTTTATGGGGGTAATGATGGGTCATAAAAGCCCACCCCAACCCATTAGCTACATCTCAAAAATCCTCACAAATTTTCTATCAGCATTATGCATGTTGAAGCAAAAGTACTGTGACTAGGCCTGTACAGGTCTGAAAAACTGCTCATCCCAAATTGTTTACATTCTCTCGAAATTGCTAAGCCAGTGTCCCCTATTTATCCCCTTTCCAGGATTAGACATACTAATTTGAAAAATGCCACCTTGAATAGTTCAGGGACTGCTTCTGTATGTAGAGAGGAGTCCTCCAGGAGTACATTAATACCTGACTGACAAAATACAATTTTTTCAGTCTGAACAATACTTATATTTCAACCCTCAATAAGGTCAAGATTTTTTCACCTTTAAGTTGAAAAAGACCTCACACATTACTACGATCTAGTGTGGTACAGTTTCTAAACTATTCCAAATCCCTAGAATTAAACACTCAACACGTTTCTATGTTCATTTCTACTACACACACTATCAGTTCATTACCACCCGCAAAAGTGGAAAACCCGACATTTCAATTTCAGTCAAGTTACACTGACTGCAATGGAACATCAGTTTTTCTCCAAACCTCAATAACTGCTTTTATCAGAGTTGACATGCTGGGTTTAACTTTCATTTGCCTACCATTCCCTTCATTTCTCTTCAATTAAAAAAGATCTCGTTTTTTAAAATCTGCATGGTTATAAACTTGTTTCTTCTCAGATGTCTTCTAAAATGACTACCCTCAATTTAACATTTGCTAAAAACAGAAGTTTTGGGATCAATATCGATTTTAAAATGGGAAAACCTTTCTTACTAACACGGAAAAGAGCCTCTTTCAAAGGCAAAAGGGTAATGAACCAACCTCATGGATAAGCAACCTTGGTTCACCCTTAAGGACAAGAAATAGGGGTAAAAAAAAGCCTTTCTCCTTTTCTCCCACCCAATCCAACATTTCCCTAATCTCTCTCCTCATCAACAGAGTAAGTAAGTACTGGGGGTTGGGAGGAGAGGTGCAGGGTGCATGTTGGAAGGAGACAGAACAAGCTCTTTTTTTTTGTAAAAATGAGCTGCTAGAAGGAAAGGGCCCAAGTGAAAGCCTGAGAGGCGGAGTCGTGAGCGAACCTGGCAGGAGACGTGGTTTCTGTGGCAGAGAAACTCGTGACCGGGGAGCCTGGTTCCCGCTGGGCACCCCACCCGGCCTTCAGGCACCGCCTCTACCCAAAATGTATCCCCCTCAAGTCCTTCTGCCCCGAGGAGGGCCGCGGCCTCCGCCCGCGGCTTCCTTCTCCCGGCACTCTGCCGCGAGGACGGCTCCCCGCGCCTCCCGCCTCAGCCGGGAGCGGGAAACGCGACCGCCGGCGCGCAGGGCCCGGGGCAGGCCGCTCCCCTCGTGGCCGCTTCCCTCCTCCACCCCAACCGCCCCCGCCCCTCACCCCAGGGACCCGCCCGGGGCCGCGCGGCCGCCACCGGGTTACACAACCCGACCGGCGACGGGGGGAGGGGCGACCGTGGGCCTGGGGCGGCGGCGCCTCCTCAGCGCGGGGGGCCAAGGCGACCGCCATGGGGATCCAGAGGCACCCGCCGCGCCGTGTGCCCCTCGACACCCTCCCCCCTCCGCTCCTTAGTGGGCCGGAGTCGGTGACAGGAATCGGCTTCCAACATGGCGGACAGGAAGCGGCCCCGCGAGGAGGAGAGAACATTCCAGCCGCGCCGGCTCTGGGGGGAGCGGGCCCGGGGCGCCGGGCTCGAAAGGAGCCGCGGGAAAAAATGGCCGCGTCCGGTCCCCAAAAGGGGCATCTACGAATGGACGTTATCTACAGAACGAGGGGCCCCAATCGTCACCCCCTGACGGAGAACCCCAAGGCCACAGGTGGGAGTGGGGTGGCGGGTGAGGGAGACACTTCCTCACTCTGCCCACCTACCCTCTCCTCGTCGCTCGCAAAAGGGTCTCGCGACACTACCCCAGTCGGGATTCGCTAGGCCTTCTGAAGATACACCCGAAGGGCTCGGGGGGAGGGCTAGGTTCACCCCAACTCAGGCCTCCAAAATAAAAGGTCCCTCCAAGGCAGCGCGGGAAGGTAAAAAGGCGGCTAGACGTCCACGGCCGACCCTCCGGGTCTCCCTCCAGTCCCGGCGAGGGCCGGGAAGGTCACACTGGCCTGGCTGGGCCTCTCCCATGCTGAGGGGGAAGAGGGCGCTGCAAACCCTCGGGCCCAGCCCAAGCTCTAGAATAAAAGGGGGCTTTCGCAGGCCCGCAGGACGCAAACACACACACACACACACACACACGCGCGCACACACACACCCCGACCCAGGCCGCGCTCTCCCGATGCAGCCCCACCCCCATCTCCCCTGCCCCCCCCACCTCGTTCCCCTTCCCCCACTCGTCCTCCCTCCCAGACCTGTTTTCTTCTTCGGCGTTTCCTGGTGTTGCTGGAGGGCGTGTTTCTGCTCATGTTTCATCGGTTTTGGCTGGGCCTTGGGGCTGCCCTCGGCTCCATGCTGCAGGTACTGGTGAGGCTGCTGGTGATGGTGGTGGTGATGGTGGTTGTGGCTGTGGTTGTAGAAATAATAATGGTGATGGTGGTGCGGCGGCTGCTGCGGCTGCTGCTGCTGGGGGTGATGGTGCGGGTGGTGGTGGTTGTGATGGTGCTGAGGCTGTGGCTGGCCGGGCTTCTCCTCCATTGAAAGCGGCTGGGACTCTCCGGCTGAGGCTGCGGGCTGCTACACCGTCAGGATCTGAGACTGCTTCTCAGGGCTCACTCAGTATATCTGAGCGCGTCTCGCCAGCGCACTGGTTAACCCAGCGATTCTGTGAGATTGGCAGCCGCGCTCCGGCAATCAGGAGCCATGCTGTGCCGCAGGCCCCGCCCCCAGCCCAAATCCTCTTTCCTTCCCCTTCGCCACTGCCTCCTGGCCAACGCCACTTACCCTGTGCAACCTCGCAGGGCCGGGCCTTCAACGTCAGCAGTATGGCTCTCTCTCCTGTCTCTTTCTTTCCTTCACCGCGCAGTCTGCGAACAGCACTTTCTACACTCCTCGTCCGCAAGCAGGCTCGTGTCGAGTGTAGCAGATTCCACTGAGGAGTCCACTGGCTCTGGGACATCTGTTGGTTTTGCACCTCCTAGAATCTGTTGGCTTTTTTTTTTCTTTATCTTTTTCCGGGTAACTAGAGGGGAAGCTCAATTCCCTTAACCCTGAAACCACTAAAGGGGCAATACAAAAAGAGGAAAGAAATACATTTTTAAGAATACAAGAGCTTCACAATCCAGTAGATCATTTAGTATTCTGGATTCATTTTGCTTTGTATTCATATGCTAATCTCTTCCTTTCCACGAAGGGATTATAGGGTTCTACAATGGGGTATCTGTGTAATTTTCTAAAAGGGCACAAAGGGTTTAAATCATTGTTTCTTTGTAGTTGGAGGCAAGGGAGAGCGGGAGGAATGAACATCTAAAATCTACACTGAAGTTTTTGTTTTTTTTTAACTGCAGGTGAGGTCAACTGTGGAACCAAGATAGGTTTTAGAATGTGAATAGTTTAGAGAGCAAAAGACGGGAAAAGAACACATTGAGAGTTACTAAGTTTAAAAATAAAGTTTTTGCATGTATGGAAAACACTGGAGTTTAAAGAGATAATGTACTGAGTATTGTAATGTTTATTTAACTTACCCTGCATTATTACATCGCAGCCTGATTTTTAAAAGCAAATGATAGGAGAGTGATTATTCAGGAAGGAAGAAAAGGGTTGTGATGGGGAGGGCACAGGGGTATCCTCTGATAATATTTTATTCTTTGACTTGTTCTTTACAGTGAGGATTTGTGTAGCTTTTCTAACTTTTAAAGAAAATCCTTTTGGGGTGGGGAGGGGTACATTTATCCAATTTTGAGAGCTAAAGTCCCAATAATAACATATCGTGACAAATAGGTCTTTGCATTTGAAGTCTTTGCCACCTTCCCACGTATTAAGAAATAAAAGTGTATATAGAAGTTAGGATTATGTTCATAGGGCTTTATATTCTCTTGCTGATTTACACATTTAGTTGGAAGGCAAGAATTCCTGAGTTATAGCTTTTCTTTCTACATTTTCTACATTATAGCTTCAGGCAAACCAAAAGCACTCCAAGTTTCTGACTTACACTTTAGCCTACCTTCACATACAGTTGTATGAAGTTGAGGAAACTAAGCCTTGATTTCAGATGCTCTAGTTGTGAATGTTACCTTACTAAGTAGTATGTAATAGTATGGAGAAAGTACGTTGTGATATAATGTAAGAAAAAAATACATCATATTAATTTCTACAGCTCGTAACCTTGTAAAAAGATGAGTATTTTTAATACGTATGGAAATACAATAGTAGAATGTGTACCTTTTTTCATCCGATTTTTCTAAAATTTTTTATGTAATATATATTTGAGATTTGCCATGTGTTTGAGAGTAATGCCATATCAAACCTCTATGAAAAGAATAATTAGGACTACTTATTTCAAGCATATTTTTACAAATTGGAATCTGCATTAAGAAAAATATCACACAACAAGGAAATATAGCATGAGTGGTGAAATTATGGATATTTTTTTCTTTTGTTTTCCAAATGTTCTGGTGTATAGTTATTGCTTTTCATAGTAGCATTATTTTAAAAATTAAAAGAATAAAAAATAGGTGAAGGGGATAAAGAGGTACAAACTTCCAATTATAAAATAAATTAGTCATGGGGATGAAACTACAGCATAGGTAATATAGTCAATAATTGTAATATCTTTATATGTGGACAGATGGTAACTACTTATTGTGAGCATTTACTAATGTATATAACTGTGAAATCACTATGTTGTATACCTGAAACCAGTATTATATTGTATATCAACTATATGTCATAAAAAATTAAAATAAAAAATTGAATCTTCACAATCCTTTGAAATTCATTTTATATAATATTTTACCTATAGTCAATGTGGAAAGTTATAATGGAGAGACAGGAGGTTCCTATATATGGTAGGCTAATGTTTTAAACGTTGTTGTAATCATAATAGCTAATACTTGCTGAGCATTTACTATGCATCAGGAATTGTACCAAGTATTTTATCTTTGTTTTCATTTGTGAAAGCTCTGACATAGATATTAAGCGCATTCTACAGATGAGGCATTTGAGGCCTGAAGAAGTTAAGAGACTTCCTTATAATTTAAAAGCCATCAAGTTTATAGTGGGGCCTGATATAGATTCCACGACAGCTGGATAGAAAAATTTCTAACACTGTCAAAGTGTGATGTACATTTCTAAGATTTTAGTAAACCTCTAAAAAACAAGCTGTATCATAACCGCCATGAAGATGTCTGATTCTTAATAGAGGCAGATGCACTGTGAAGCTAATGAAGATTCAGGGTCGTTCAATGCTCAGACCCCTTCAAGTAAGGGGCCCTGTGCATATATACCCCTGGAAAGGGCCTAGAAATGGTCTCTTGAAAGACCTAGATATTTTTCCTTACTTTATAAAAATTTTTTAAGCATATACTTTCATATTTTTTTCCTCAATGAGGGCCCCCCAAAACCTGGATTTACCCCTGTTAACCGTAGTTTGGAACTCTGATTCAGAAATATAACTTTACTAGGTCCTTTAAAAGGTTATAGTAATATAACAACATGGAAAAATGTTGACACTATAACTCAGGTATACAAAGCAAAGTGACATTATATATATATAATTATTGTATATAGAATATGAATTCTAGGAATGTGAGGGACCTTGAAAAATGAATGCAATAAAATCTGTTTATTTGTTCATTCACAGATATTTACTACATACTTTTATGTACCAGATATTATGCTTTTTTGTTATTGGGCTTTTTTTTTTTTAATCTATTCCTCTTACTGATACAATTTTGGAACTTGGTTAAATACATTTTTTTTGCAAGACTGTCTTAATTATCAAATGACAATCATTCTTCACACACCTTTAATCTTATACTTTGTGTACTGTGACAACTTAAGAGATACAGAAATATTTAACTTTCTGGGCCTCAGTTTTCTCTAAAGTATGGAAAATGGGCAAAGTGGCTTCCAAAATTCTTCCCACTTTAATATTCTATGATCTTATCTCTGCTCTTTCTTTCCAGACTGCCCCTTTATTTCACTATAAACAGCAGGAAATTTAGCTGATAAAAATCTAGTTTTTCAACTGTAACGACTGACTATAACTTTACAGAAATATTTAATCAGAGACAGTATTATATAGTTTTGTATAAATGGAAATCAGCCTTCTGATGATAGTTCCAGTTTCAAAATGAGGCAAATCACTGATAACATCCACTGTTTTATTTCAACAGAGAAAGAATTTTATTCATGTATATTTCCTTTAGATCTTAATATTTTTGCCTACAGACACTAACTTCAAAAATAACTTTCAAAGGGATTGAACAGAGGTATGAGTATATGAGGTTAGTCTTTTAATAACTAGAATATGACAACTTTTCTAAATATGAAAGTTTTGAAAAATGACATTTTGCTTTTATGAAAAGTATGGGGGAAAGTTTGAGGGAGAAACAAAAGCAGAGTGGTTTGTGAGTACATTTTGTAGTCAAATAGAACTAGGATGGAATCTCTTCTGAAACTGCTTAGCTTTATGACCTTGTTTGGGCAAATTATTTAACCTCTTTAAGCATTAGTTTACTCATCTGAAAAATGGAAATAATACTAGTGCCTCACTCAGAAGGTGTAATGAAGTTTAAATAAGATGATGTAAATAAAGTTGTTGAGTATAGTGTTTATGACATTAGTAAGGGGTACTAAATATTAAATATTAGGATCCTGCTATTAAATATTAGATATATAAAGCTACACTTTCAGATATATTTCATTAAGGAAACTGAGTTTTAGAAAAATCAATTTGCAAGTTAACCAAGAGCAGAGTGTTTTCCCAATTTTTAAAAGTATAGACAAATGCTGGCAAATAAAATCAATAATGCATCTCAATAGCAGTCCTCTCTGACTAGCAAGTTCAAAGTTGACTTGCACTTTATTCTTTTTTACTTCTCTATTTTCTCCAAATATTGTACATTGAACAACTTATTCCTTTTGTAAAAAAAGAAAGTTTTTTAAAATGAATTAATTCAACATTTGACTATCCTATGAACATTAATCCCCAAAAAAGACCAAGGGAATTAATATGCCATTTTGAATTCCTTTTAGACAAAATTAATTTATGTATGAATTAATCAATAAATATTTTGTTGTCAGTATGTATAGTCAGTTTGTTAGTGTCCATAGTTGATGCATCCAGAAGTTGGATAAAAGGTCACTCCCTGAGCATAAAACTAGTAAGACACAACATAAAATGGATGAAATTAACCATTTATAGGTTAGTCAGTGTGATTACAGGCTGTAGTCAGTGTGATTACAGTGCCTGAAAAGGTATAAGAAAATAAATAGTGTAACCTTGGAAACTACAGCATATCTATATTATTTCTCTCCCTATTCTCTTTTAGTGTTTTTAAATTAGTATTTTGAAGGTTATATGATTGGTTTTGTGTTATTTTTGGTGTAACAGTTTGTCCTGAAACTTAGTGCCTTATAACAATAAACATGTATTATCTCACAGTTTCTGAGGGTCAGGAATCTGAGTGCTGTTTAGCTGGGTGTCTCTGGCTCAAGCTCTCTCTGAGATGGTTGGGAACATCTGCTTCCAAGATCACTCATGTGGTTGTTGGTAAGATTCAATTCTTCATGAAATATTGGACTGAGGACCTCAGTTCTCCACTGGCTGTTGGCCAGAGGCCTTTCCATAGGGCAGCCCACAACACAGCAATTGTCTTTCCTCAGAATGACCAACAGAACAAGAGGGAGCACTCAGGATGAAGCCACAGTCTTTTTGTAACCTAATATCGAAAGTGACATCCCATCAGTTCTGCCACATTCCATTCATTAGAAGTGAGTCCAACTTATACTC